GGAGCACTGAATGAGTGATCTTACTGATTGGTTTTAGCAGCATAGGGAGGATTGTGTAGGCGGATTCAGATCGTTTTCACTGTGGTCGGAATGCGACTCCTAATCCCCTTAGATCAAGGGCTGTGGGGATGGATCAAAACACCTCGGACATATCACATCTAGCGGTTTGACACCACTAGCTGTGAAGTGATTGATAATCCTAATTATCCCATTATTCAGCTAGGCCGGGTAATGTTCTAGAATTCTTTCAGATAACCGACTGCTCATGCGGCCCATGCAGCTTGCCCCAAAGTAAACAAGTACACCATTTTCGGCAGTTTTGTCGCCCTTAAAATTTATTGTTGTGTAAACCTGTTTCTGCTCAACGGTAGTGATCTTTCACGTGGATAATGTGCTCGGTAATTCCGTCTGATCTTTGACTTGGTAGACCGTCCAGAAACGCGATTTGCTCATTCTCTTCCCTCTCTAAAGTGAACTTTATGTTGATCTCCAGATTCGCCATGAAGAATAAATTTCGCTTCTACTGTAAGCTAACATATAACAGTTCATATAACTTTTATGGTCAATGAAATAATGAAAGTTGAACAAATGCAGAATTCCAAATAATAGTGGACAGAAAAAAAAACAAAAAAATATAAGAAGTGTCTGATCGGTCGCCTAGACAACGGAACGGTGAGAAAGAATTCATCTTACTTACATTTCGATCAAATTTATGACTGTGAGTGGCTCAGTGCATATACGAGTGATTTGATGCTTATCGTGCTGTACATTACCTGAAGTGATGTTTTCGGGGACCAAGACTGTGCTTTTTTTTAAATATATGTGTTGTTGCGTGATCAAAAGTTGAGGCCTTCTCATCACTACAATGACCGAATACCTACAAATTCATTGTTTCCATTGTATTCTAATATGATTCATTTTATCATTACTGGTCCACCAAATTGGGTTTCAGTTAAGACATGTTTCACATGACACATCCCATTTTGGTCAACCTGCACTAACTTGTATTCCGGTGCTGGGGTTAGCAGTGACGGAGGACATATGATTAGGTAGGTTAGCATGTCAGCTCTTGAAGCAAGAATGTTACATTGAGAGAGTTAGGTTGTCAACACCCAGCATTGACAGCTTTTTCTTGCTCACACAGTGTTGCGTTGATTCATTACAAATGGTTCCTGTTACCAGTTCTCAGTATTTGAATATGAACTAAAGAATCTAATCGTTTTGTTTCAGATTTGATGAGGGATGAACAGCTGATGAAGCAATGTGGGATTTACGAGCAGATCACATCTGCGGCCACTTTAATGGGAGAGCGCTTATTCCGCAGTTAAACATATAACGATGCTTTACCGAAAATGTTCGTTTGCGTGGATTTATCTACAGGCTAACACATCACAATCACAACAAATCTTTTCCTATGTGAAATGCAAGTCATTTCACATCCATGACTAATTGATTGCCGTCTATTTCCTGATTCAGTCGGGAGTAGTAGTTATCTTGGTCATAGAGGTGCAACTAAAGGTAAACTACCAGCCTGTGCGCTCACCGTTTTGGTTCAAGCTGGACGGTGTGAAAGTGGAGCTATGAAATCCGACAGAAAGTGACCCAGCGCTAGTTCAGACGAATTGTGTAATTCTCTGAAAAACACGTGGAGTATGATAAGGACTATTGATGACAACATTCAAATGTGACACGAAACAATCGATGACGGGTCTCATTTTCAGAATCCATGCCGAGATGTGCCCAACCTTTTGGTGATTCCACTGCGTATGTTGCTTTTAGTTGTATTCATCGGGTATTGATGTCAGTTCTCGAATCAGCCATGTCGTAGATAAACTCGGTCACAGATTCTAA